CCCGCTTGGGGTGTTGATAAGACCTAGGCGAGGTCGAAGTTGCAGTCCACTTTGGATAAGAATACCTTTTAAGAAAAAAAAGCTACGTGGAATCCAATAAAAACATCGTCTACTCATATCTTTGTGAGAAACTTCGACTACCAGATTGTCATCACCTTAAATGAAACAGAGTTAACACAACTCAAATCCAATAGTTAAATAGGAACTTAGTCACCTTAGATCGCTTATAGTGATTTGAGGGCTGATGGTCGACTTTTCTCACAATGATATGAGTAGGCCTCCCGATGCTTATAGTCTCGAGAGCTACTGATACAGAAATTAGGAGACGTCTTCTATTGCAGTGACAAGCATATGTTTGCTTAGTCAGCAATCCAATTATAAAATGTGAGTATAGAGAGGCTTGGTTTGAATTCACCATTGGCAGACTGGTAACCATGGCTATGTAGTGGAGTTGTTACTTCACTAGTACTCTTACGACAGTGTATCGAATTCTGCTGATGTTGGGAAGGTGCTGATGAGACCTAGACAAGGTGGAAATTGTAATCCACTCCATTCAGGATGATATAGCCTTTTTAGAGGCAATGTTAGGTAAAATTAAATCGCATCGTAAGGCCTAACCATCTCAGTGTGGGAAAACTCAAATATATCTGTGCTTAAAGTATCCTAAGCGACCTAGGATCACCAGGTTCTTATTCAAGAATTGTTGATATTCTCGTAACCTATTTATATAGAAAACCAATAGCCAAAGTTTTCCCTTCAAAACTTTTGTTTATCGACTCTAGTCTGCCCAATGAGCCTTACCAGAAAATCAATCTTCTCCTGAAGATTGACACGTTGTTCAGTCGAGTTCCGCGTGTCCTCCATCAAACGCTGGCGCAGCCGATTCGCTTCAAGTTGGATCGCTTCTTTGGAAGCCAATTCTGCAGCATAGGTGGCAGAGGCTTGAACGAAAAAGGGTAACATAAAGACAGGCATAGAGGCTGCAGATGAGACTGAAGAAATAGCGGATGCTAGAATTCACGTAAAAGATTACGCTAATTCGGAAATACCCTATCAAC